GCCTGAAACTTTTGATGAAGTTATCTTCATCTGACACTCATTTGAACAAGGAAAAAGAATGAAGCGAGTAAAATCATAGGTAAAATTTACAAAGAGAGATTTTAAGAACATAGATTGGTTCTCTGGATCCAAATGTACTTGAGGCAATTTCCTCCCTATAGACCACCTAGTCATATAGGACAATAGCTTTTTTCCTCTTAAGCTGGTATGAACTTGGGTTTTGTAACCAAAGTCATGATACAGTGGAATACAAATACGATGAAATCAAAGTTATACAGAATCATAAATCAATTCAAAATACAGGTTTTTTTAACGTGTAAATACACCATAACTGTATTTTAAAACGTTCAAAAAGCACAGATTTCATTTACTCATTCACTGATAAATATGAATTAAGCAATAACTACTTACCCAATGCTCTATTAGGGCACTGGACAAAAAAAAAAGGAAGAGGATGAATCACAGCCCCAACCATCCTATCATTAATGTGAATGATGTTATAATAAGACACTTCATCTATATTCAGTACCAAAGATTCCTGGATAAATAGAAGCCAAGAAGAAGCTGACTTATGGTGAGCCTCATGTTATAGCCAGTCTTTTTTTAAAGAGTCCTAGAAACTGATTTCCAATTTCGAAAAAGTCCTACCAGTTTGTTTGTTTTTTTCCTGTGAATGTATCTTTACAGTTAGCTCAGACTTCAGATTTTTTTTAATCAAACCATGACTTTATAAATAGAGATTTCCACAACTAAGTCAGCATTCATAGCAAAACCTGCTAAAATCACTTGAACTGATGATGTCTTAGCAGAATGTTCATTAGGTTCCTCTTCTATGAAAATGATTTCCTATAAAGAATATGATTTTGCAGTGTCTTCTCATTTCATTAAAACATAATGTAGACACCTTTCTTAGAAACTTTCCAAAAAAAAAAAAAAAAAAGGGAGAGAGAGAGAGAACACACAACAAAAATAGACATTACTGAGAAAAACAATTTGGTGCAAAGTTCAGATGAAGCTTACATTTCCAGCACTTAGAATGAAGTTCTTTTTTGAAATGTATATTGCACTTTTTTCCCTTTATAAACAATCTATTTCAGTTTTACTTAAATTTGCTACATGTATGAGTGATCGTCCCCTCCTATTTATGCTCCTCTATTTCCCCATTAGATATTTAAAAATTCTGGCACTGGCTGCCATCACCTAGGATATAGTGTTCTTAATTCTTTTGGATCAGAGTTATTTATAAAACCAGTTTCACAACAGATTCATCTCTTCTGCTTAATACTTCTGAGGTACTGTATCAAAAAACAATTGTGCAAGTAATTGCAGAGTACAACATCCCAAGGTCTTGATTTTAGGCGGAAAAAAGAGAGAGGGAGGTTTTCCACATAGTATTTTTATTTTTATTCTTTCCATGTTATTCACCAATCTGTGGTTTTGTTTTATTTTGAATGCTACCATCCACACAGCACTGCCTAATGAAACACTGAACCACATGGTATTCACATGTCAGTCTGACTAGTTCAAATAAAATTTCATTTTCTTTTTTTTTAAGATTTATTTATTTATTTATTTATGATAGACAGAGAGAGAGAGAGAGAGAGAGGCAGAGACACAGGAGGAGGGAGAAGCAGGCTCCATGCCGGGAGCCGGACGCAGGACTCGATCCTGGGACTCCAGGATCACGTCCTGGGCCAAAGGCAGGCGCTAAACCGCTGAGCCACCCAGGGATCCCCTAAAATTTCATTTTCAAACAAAAGCCTTGCAATCACCTTTCCAAGAAACCAAAAATAATTGTTTAGCATTTTAAGACATTAAAGATAATCTAACGTGGATAATAGAAGAATTATATCCTGTGTTTGCAGGCAATGGGACGGGAGAAAACACAAGAAGAGGAACAATGAGTCAATTCTGAAGTTTTCTGACTTGAACATTTCCCGGGACTTCACATCCCTAACGGACATTCCCCCCAGGGACTTCCCAGCCCCAATTCAATGTGTCCCTCAGCCCTTCTGCCGACCCCACCGAGTCCCCTAGCACTCCGGCACCCTCTGTAAAACAGATCGCCCCCTCCCTGCTTCCAGTAATTCAGAGGAGTCGGGGGCAAAATGCCCAAGTTCCATTTGACTCCCCGCTCCGTCCTTTTCATCTCATATCCAGTGATCTCTCAGGTTCTATGAACTTTTCAAGGTCTCCCAAATCCACCTTCTTATTTCCAGTTTCACCGCCATCACAATAATAACAACAGCAGCTAATATTTTCCAGAGCCGTCAGAGCCTGGCTCAGCAAGAGAAACGTTTTATCCCTGGAGGCTCTGCCCCACCCTGTTCCTAACATGATTCTGACCAGGGTAGAGAGTTTATTACGTTTTCCTTGTGGTCCTTAACCCAGTTTTACTGGGAATCTAGAACCTAGAATCCCAATACCTAAAATAAGCCCCAAGGAGCTATGGCCCATTAAGATGTGGTTTCCCCCTTAACAACTATGTCTCTATCCCAACAAGAACCGTAGCTCTTTTCTAAATGCAGGTTCCTGAAATTCTACATAGTGTTTGTCACGGTAATACTGAATCTGCTTTCCCAGTTGTTGGCTGGGCCCAAGCCCTAAGGCCTGAGGATTCGGAACTAGGGCACAGCCAAGTATTTGATTTTGGTTAGCTACACCATCTAGACATCCTTGTAGTTATGCTCCACTTGTTAGATCTGATCCTCCCGTGTATCCATGTCATGCCCTTTTAGACCTAAGTCATTGATTACTTAGAAATCCGGCCATCTCTCTCAGTGGACTGCCCTGCAGAAAGATCAAGAACCTCATCATACATGGTCCCAACTTCCTGACATTCGTAGCTTCCCAGCAAATGTTTTCAAGCCCAGCCCTTCTGAGTTAGACTGTTCTTAATCATGAACTCATTTATTTCACAAAACAATCCAATGAAATAGAACTGTCCCCATTTGACTCAATGAGAATCTTAAACTTGGAGAGATTACATGGTATAAAGTACAAACATCACAGAGCTAGGCAGGGGCAGAGTTGGAACTCACACTCAGCTCTTCCTATTCCCAAATTCATACCGTCGTTCACTGTATTAGGTTTCTTTTCACCATGTCTCTCACAAGGACTATTGCAAGAGACTTTTGACACACCTTTCCATCTTCCAAATTATCCTATGTATTCCCACAAGAATATTCTTCCTGAACATTCTCAGCTATCACATAAATCTCATCCCTCTGATGCTTTTCCATCCTTCTCTGAGTACTTAGGAAACACATGCCAATTCCCCCATTCAAACGTTTGAAAGTTTCCATAATCTGGATCCAGGCCACTTGTCAAGGTCTATCCCTCGTATTCCTCCATAATCCAAGCCAGGCCACACTCCCTCCTATGCCTCAGCCACTCAGCCCAGGCTCTTTCTGAAGTTCTATGTTCCTTGTTTCCAATTTACTCCAATTGTCAGAGCACAGTTCAAACTGCACCACCAAAAGTCTCCCATGACTTCATATATCCAAACTTATCCCATCCTTCTGTTAACTTGACTCTCACCATATTGGCATCTTCACACAAACTGCAAGGTAGGATTCCTCTCTGTCACCCAGAGTCACTTGTAACTCACTGAACTTCCTGGCTTCATTTTTATCCCCACAGTTTATAACTCTTGTAGTGACCACTATATTCCAACCCTCAAGTCATCACTATTTTCAAGCTCCTTTAGAACAGAGAATTTGTCTTATTTAAGTTTACATCCTCTCTTGCAAGCTTGACGCAGTGCCCTAAGCATGGTTAGAGCTCAATAAATGAGTGGATGAAAGAATAAGGTAGATAATGGATGTAGGGGGAAGGAAGGTGAAAAAGAGGAAAAGTTTTTCACCAGCACCTACTTGATCTAATAATGAATTTTAAACTTTCATATTCCAATTAAGACTGGAGATTAAACCAATATTCCCAAAAGTGTTACATATCATGTTTGCCTAGACAGAAATCCAAACATTTTGAAATGTCCCATTTCATTCCAAATCAAAATAAAATGTGAAAATGATTTTCTGAATCAAATAAATTTTACAGAAGGCATTAAATTGTTAACATGCAAAATGTTCATAACAAAGGCCTTTTTAGTCACTCACGTTTGAAGTTATAAAAGATAGAACTGCTATAGTGTTTTTTTTATTTTAATTACAATGAAGGAAGGTTCCAAAATGAAACTCCTAACCTTGCTGACTAAGAAGTTGATTCTGAAAAAAAATGTGATTTACAGTACGAGGACCAGACCATCTAGGTCACTGGATTTTGGTGCCCAGTGGAGGGAGAAAAAAAGAAAACGAGAGTATCGGCTTACATTTTTTTCTAATTAAAGATTAACTTCAAAGAAATTAATTCATTTGACAATAAGGTCAGATATATTTGAACAATCTCTAACAAAATAATAATAATAATAATAATATAATAATAAAACTCTCTCTCAATTTAGCAAATATTTGCCTTCAAAGTATCAGACATCTGAAAGACTTAAATTTTCTGATAATTTACATTTGCTTAGCATTGCATAAATCTATTCCACAGTACAATTTTCTCCACTAGTTTGTTAAATCAAAAATAAAGGGATAGTCTCTTCCTCTCTGCCCTTACCCTGAAAAACATAGAGGACATTTGTTTTAAATACCAAATATAATTTTTTAAGATAAGATGGTACTTTTGTAAGTATCAGGTGCAATTCAAATTTAAGGCAGAATTATAGCTTTTGTGTATTATCAGACATGGAGCAAACTCTGCCTTGAAGAGACATAAAGTGCTTGAATTGCCTTAAACTTCTATAAAGTAAGCAAAAATCCCAACCTACCATCACGTTGATAAAAATCTCAAACATTAGTGAAATCAACTTAGGTTGTAATGATTTCATTTGTCTACCTGTCAACTCTGCCATGTTACTACTTCCCGGTTTCCCTGAGGATAATTTACTCCTCCTTTTTTGACAGAAAAGCAGAAGTTTAACTATATTAGAATGAACAGAGCTCTCTTCGGCAGCACGTATACTAAAATTGGAACGATACAGAGAAGATTAGCATGGCCCCTGCACAAGGATGACACACAAATTAATGAAGCCGTTCCATATTTTTTATAAAACTCAAAACCCAAGAAACAAACAATCCAATCATGAAATAGGCAGGGGACATGAACAGACATTTCTCCAAAGAAGATCTCCACATGGCCAACAAGCACATGAGAAAATGCTCCGCATCCCTTGCCATCAGGGAAATACAAATCAAAACCACAATGAGAGACCATCTCACACCAGTGAGAATGGGGAAAATTAACAAGACGGGAAACAACAAATGTTGGAGAGGATTTGGAGAAAGGGGAACCTCTTGCACTGTCGGTGGGAATGCGAACTGGTACAGCCACTCTTCCTCAAAGGGTTAAAAATGGAGCTACCCTACTACCCAGCAATTGCACTACTGGGGATTTATCCCAAAGATACAGATGCAGTGAAAGATTGAGACACCTGCACCCCAGTGCTCATAGCAGCAATGTCACAATAGCCAAACTGTGGAAGGAGCCTCAGTGTCCATCGAAAGATGAATGGATAAAGAAGATGTGGTCTATGTATACAGTGGAATATTACTCAGTCATCAGAAAGGACCAATACCCACCATTTGCTTCAACGTGGATGGAACTGGAAGGTATTATGCTGAGTGACAGAAGTCAGAGAAGGACAATCATATAGTTTCACTCATACATGGAATATAACAAATCGTGAAAAGGTATTATAAGGGAAAGGAGAGAACTGAGTGGGGAAAAATTAGAGAGGGAGAAAAACCATGAGAGACTCCTAACTCTGGGAAATGAACAAAGGGTTGCCGAAGGGAGGTGGGAGGATGGGGTAACTGGATGACGGGCAATGAGGAGGGCACATGGTGGGTGAGCACTGGGTGTTATACTACATGTTGGCAAATTGAATTTAAATTTTAAAAATGTAAAAAAAGAAAAAAGAATGAACACTATACCCATTGGTATAGTATTCCAAAGGGAATAACCCAGAGAAGTCTCCTCTCCTCCCCACTATAATTATAAAAATAATTGCAAATCCCCAAAAACAATAAATTCTATTTAAAATACAATCCAATGGTTTGTTTATTTTCAGGATCAAATTATGCTCCCTTTTGCATTGTCCATCTGTTTTCCTGTATTTTAAACCAAATCACAGAGTACCTTGAATCCAAATATAAATCCATAGAAATATTCAGAGAAATATGAATACAAATATTTCCTATTTTTTACATTGCAATTTTTTCCAAATACTAAACATAATTAAACTCCTAAAATAATAAAATTTCTGTTCCATTCTGTATTTACATTCGGCCTGTCCACTAGAAGTACTGATATGTAATAGAACCAAATCATATTTTTTCTTCAAAAAGCTCCGTGAATTAGGGGGAAAAAACCTACATGCTACTTAAAAACAAAACGAACCAATCTCACTGTTTCTGAAAAACACAATCTTTAAAAAGAAATTTTAAATGTCCAAAGATATCGAGACTTATTTTTTCCTTCAGTTAATACCTAAAGATTAAAGGGAAAGCTTTGGCTTAGAGAATATATATTATTCACTTCCATTTTAGGATGGTGTTTACCAAAATATCATAAATACTTAATAGCAACTGTTCCTAGTGCTTCTAGAAAAAGGCAGTAAAATGAAACATAAACCTCAGCTTTGAAAGCCTAGGAGTTTTGCTTTGCATTTCATCATCATACTTCCCCTTACCCTCTTTAGGGGTGCCCCAATTCTAAAATCATCAGAGAGTGCAACTGAATTCCAAACAGAAATATTATGAGCTCCAGTGAAACTATTAATCATTAAAATGGAAAGAACAACAGCAGTCAAATACTCAGCCACTGTGCAAGGTGTCTGCTTGATAGCTAACAAACGCCATTTTTGGAAGAGGGAGAAATCACACATTCCAATCCAAATTTTTATTTTATACTTCTTCTCTAAAGCCTATTAAACTTTCAAGATATCAAGACAGGAACTCCACGCTCAAACGGTGGAAGTGTCAAAGACTGTTTATGAAGATCCTAAACTTGAAATCTCAAACCCAAGCTCACAGAGTTAAATTTATAAGAATTAATACCAACCATTAATACAAACAAAATCCAGACAAAATCCAGATGTTTAGAATTAAGCCATGTTCTCAATACCAAACAAACTACTTCTTAATCTCTTTCTTCAAGATAATGATCACCTGAAGGGATATCAAGATTACTTCTTGTGTTTTAAAATGTATCTAAAATCATAAGCCTTTCTTACTCCCAGAAAAATACTCACAGAATTAATTATTCCTTTAAGAGCTTGAAATCCACCCTTGACAGGAAAAACTTGTTCCTTGGAATCAGCAATTCTTTCCAGCTTTAGGAAAACGAGGAACATTCAATTAACGGGTAGTTGAGACATACATTTTATACATTTCATTATGTTTCAGTTATGTTCATCTGGAAAATTACACCACAGGATTAATTCACCAGTGTAGTCTGTCAGGAATTGAAGGAGATTACACTAGTGTTATTCTAAATGTATCACAATGAAATGAATCAGCCACAACCCCTTTACACTGGCCTCAAGTTTGAAACTCAAAACACTACAGAGCTCTACTAGCCAAAAATGTCATAAGACACAGAAATCTTAGTTATGTTCAACCAAAAATTTAAATGTAAGACCATCTAGTGAGCAGGGAAAAAATTAATATATAAACCTCCAAAACTTATGAAAAAATTGGGGTTTTGGAATGAAAACTATTAAAAATTTCCTCTAAACAGATTTCCCAAATCCCTGCACTCCTAAGTGTCAAGTTTTAAATCAAACTAAAACACCTAAATAAGAATAAGAATAATAATAATCTTGTCCGTTGAGTTCAAAAAGGAGTATTCATATTATTTCAGTCCAAATATGTGACCATAATATTACTTCCTCTGAACCAAATGAATATTCAGGAAATTTTAGAGTGTTGTTTTCAGCAATGAAACCTCTCAAAATCAGACATAATTGATGCAGAGTTCAAAATAATTTTATAAAAAATCTTTAGCAACAGATTAGTGTCACAGTAGGTCATCAGTGAAAAGAATTTGATAAAATACCCTTAAGATGATGATGTAATTTAGATTAAGGTTTGCAGATCCGCTGTACTCACCTGAGCTTGTTCAAAGTCAAGGACACCAACACAATAAACTCTAGCCCCAAATGACCTGGATATCTTTGCCTATGAGGGGGGCGCAGAGAGAGGGGTGCATTATTCCAATATCGGGCTATGAATACAGAGACACACAGCAAAGTACACCAGGGTATAATGAACAGTTTCAGTTCAACACTCACCTCTTTCTCTGCATATGATGGCACCAGACCGTCCAACTTACCATCTGTCAGAGCAATTATGATGCTGGAGGTTTTTAAGCCTCCTGCTTTCTGAATTTGTTCATTTGCCTGAAAATGAAGAATAATTATCTCACTAACAATTTCTTCTTAACTTTTAACCAGCATGTTTCATCAAGCTGAATGTATGAATCTGACAAAATCAAAATATTACAGACTGGCTTTGAAAACAGGGTATTTTGACTATATGTTGGCAAATTGAATTTAAATAAAATATTAAAAAATAAAAAATAAAAGAGTATTTTTTGTTAGCTATTTTATTTGAAATATGCATATATTCACATTATAAAGCAGTTACAATTGGGTGTAAAGAATATAAATTTTAAGCTTTGATTGACTAGTCTGAAAATAAGCACACAGAAAATGAAAAATTCCTTAAAAAGCCAAATGCTATCCAAATTTTTCTTATCACCATGGTAAATCAGTCTCCTCCTTAGAACAACTAAAAGCATTTTTAAAAAAAATTTTTAAAGATAAACCTGTAATGAGGTATTGGAGTTTTACTAGAGAGTTACAGTTTTTTGCATTCCAGAATAAGGAAACATTCTCTTCCATACTTACGAATATTAAAGAACTTACTAGCTTTAGTCCTTCGTGGATGTATGTCTCTCCTACTGGACTAACATGTTTTAAATCCTCTAAGCCTTTACTGATTTTGCTTCTGAAAAATAATGAAAATTAAATGAAAGAAAAATGAGCAAAGATTACAATAAGTATTTATCTAAAAACATGGCAGGGTTACAATTAAAGTTTCTTCAGGAAGAGGAAAGAACATGAGCTTTGAGGATAGATAACTTCTCATACTTTTTGCTATTTGAATAAATAAGAGCACTCATATTTTAAATACAACAAATAAGAGTATTGTTTTATTTGACAATATGAAATATCTTGGAAAAATCTAAGTATATGCTAGACATTTTGAGCTGAGAACAGATAACTTCTATCATATTTGTTTGACTAAATGCTAGGGAGTGAAACATTTTCCTTCATCCAAAACAAACAAGGGTTGCTTAGGTCAGCTTAAATGAAAAAGTATTTCTGAAGCACACACCCACTTCCCTATAAGTTGCAAATTTACTTTGTTATTTGTAAATTTCTAAAGCATATTACTTAACCCTAACTTATAGAAATTCAGTTTCTACTTTGTGTTTCCCAGAGTCACATGTCGCAGAAATTTAGTCACTTTTGTAGCATCTTCTCCTCCATGCAGACACCAACTCATTCTCTTGAATATTGTAACTACAATGTACTAGCACATTTTTGATGAACAAATGAAAGAATAAATGGATGGGTGGTCACGGATTCCTGAAACAGGCAATATGAATGAAAAACTTGAAAAACTATAGAATAATCTTTTTCATCATGACCAATTAGTGTCTCAATGCAGTATATCTAAATGAAGTATGAATACATTATTAAAAGCTATTTTGGGGACACCTGGGTGGCTCAGTTGGTTAAGCATCTGCCTTCAGCTCAGGTCATGATCCCAGAGTCCTGAGATCAAGTTCTGCATCAAGCTCCTTGCTTAGCGGGGAGCCTGCTTCTCACTCTACCCGCTGCTCCCCCTGTTTGTTGTCTGTCTTTCTCTAATAAGTAAATGAAATCTTTTAAAAAAAATCTATTTTGTGTGTATTAAATAAGACCTATTTTTCAAGTTTTTTTAAATATAGGTTCCAAAGAACCCTTGAAAAATAAAGAAACCATAAGAATAATATGAGATAAATACAATAATGTTGCAAAAACAATCCAAACTAAACTCAGAATTTCATTTTCAATTTTTAAATTTAAAGGATCAGAAGAGAGATCTTAATATAGTGTTTATAGAATTTTAATTTTTAAAAAGAAGCAAAGAAAAATACCTTTCTTTTTTTATTATTTTTTTATTTTTAGTGAGACAGAAAGAGCATGCTCCAGCAGAGAGAGAGGCAGAGAGAAAGAGAAACAGAAAGTGAGAGAGAATCTCAAGCAGGCTCCACACTCAGCGCATGTGGAGCCCGACATAGGGCTCAATCCCACAACCCTGAGATCACGACCCCCGCCAAAATCAAGAGTCAGACGCTGGACCAACTAAGCCACTCAGGCACCTCAAGAAAAATACCTTTCTAAATAAAAAAGTCCTGCAATGGTAAACTGAAATTTAATGTTTTAAATAAAACATGAAGAGCACCCACATTACTAACAATGATACATTGAAACATTAATCACAAAAGTAGATTATCTGATTATCAAGGAACTTACTAAAGTCATACTTAAAAGGTTATACACACACACACACATCATACACTATTAAAATAAAATTATATACATATAACATATACCACACACCATTAAAACGTATGTCCGAAAGAGTAAAAAAAAAAAAAAAAAAAAGTTTCATCGAGCTGCAATGTTGTATTTCGAACACTTGAAATAAATGAATCATCCACCAGAGCTTCACTCATGTTTTAAAAGTAACTTACTGATTATATGTTGATGCTGTAATGAAAATTAGTATCAGACAAGTTTTCCCAAATACATAAGACAACTTTCAAAGTATGACCTAATCCTCTTTCTTCCTGACTCAGTCATCTCTACCAATCCACACTGTTTCCTTTAATACTTGGGTCTAAAATCAGCCTATTCTGAACCTGTCTTTGACTTTATTATACTCTTTTTTCTAAGGTGTCCCAAACACATCCATGATCAACTTCTACTACAATGAATAATTTTGTCTCAAATTTATACCTTAAAATAATGTAACTGATTTAATTTATTGTTTCACTTCTCAACTACACTGGAAGTTTACAGTGGACTATCACCCTGTCTATAATTTATGATGTATCCTCCTACTCTGCGCTTATTACTTAAATAATGCCTTTAACAAAGTAAGTGTTCAATAAACTTTTCAATCTACCATAGGAAAGAGATTCACAGATGATGAACTAAATTACCTACTTTATAAGTTTATCTAAATATTTATATTTAGTATCTACAGACAAAACTTGAAACTGATTCTGTCTGAATGCAGACAAAAACCAAATATTTGGTACTTCTAAGAAATGAGTGGCAGCGTGTCCTCAAGCATTAATGTTTGCTGCCAAAAGGGAAATGAAAAGACAACTGAAATTCAAGTTCACACAACAAATCGATTTTGCATGGTAGAAGCTGCCTTCTCCATTCAGTTCAGATTCACCTCACCATTTAATTTCTTCTAAGACCCAGACAATAGGACTCTAAGCTACAAGAACTTGCCGGACGTGGAATTCAGAATTGTTTTTGGAAGGTAAGACTCAACTAGCTTATTTCATTGGGAGAAGTAACACTGTCCCTGGCTTTTCTATCCATGACAATACCTGACACCATAATATTCTAAGTAGCACTGAATTCCATCATTACTTTTGCAGCTGCATCATCACTGGAGGAAAAGTGTTTCTTGCCAACAGTCAATAACATCAGCACACATGAGCTCTGGTCTTATCTCCTTCCAGTATAACTACACAGTCTGTCAGCCTCCACCAAGTGTCATTTTAGGGGAAATGAAAGCCAAAACAAGACAGGGCAGATCTCAGGCCTTCAAAAGATCCCAAGCAACTAAAAGTAAGTTCTAAGTTTGTCTACTAGTAAACAGCTAATTGGGGGAAAGCAAAATGATGTCATAGGTTAAAAAGAGAACTCATCCATCTATACTATGACTTAAAGAAACCTCTAAAAAAAAAAAGCAAGTAGGGAATGACAAAAACAAAAGAAAAAATGCACATGTTATAAAGCTCAAATCCAACAACATCTTAGATCATCCTCACCAAGTTTGGTTTTAACGTTATGTCTTCAGCTACAGGAATAGTGATATTGAAACTACTTTGGTATTTGTTGTGAAGCTGTAGTCAAGGGTGCTGTTATCATAACACAAAATGTCCCCTCTCAGGTCTTGTGGCAGAAGTTTCTCGTCATCCCTGAGTAATCACTATACACTTCCTCCTTCCTGCTAGCTACAAGTATGTAAACCATTTCTTGCCCTAACTATTGGGAAGCCCACAGTAAATTTCTTACTCATTCACAAAATTCTAAGTTCCTATGGTTATCATATTGCTACATCCTCTTTTCTAAGATCTTAACTTTTCTTTTTATGTTATTATCTCCTGCAATGTTATTATGTTCAGCTTCAAATACTTTTTGGAAAGAGGCAAAATGAAACAAATAAAATGGGATAAACCTGATTCTTTTTGTTGAGAATCAGTGGGCTAAAATCTATCAACTCTTTCTTTTTTTATTTCATGATTATATTGATCAGAGAAAGGCAAAAACATACTGATTCTTAATAACAGAATCAGTTTCTGTTCTGTTAGTACCTGTCAAATTTCCCTGCTGAGTAGGGGAAGGAAGAGAGATAAAAGGGAAGGGAAGGGAAGAGAAGGGAGTGGAGGGGTGGGAAAGAGAAGATGAGAGGAGAGGAGAGGGGAGGGGAGGGGAGGGGAGGGGAGGGGAGGAGAAAGAAAGAGAAAGAGAAAGAAAGAAGAGAAGAGGAGAAGAGAAGAGGAGAGGAGAGGAGAGGAGAGGAGAGGAGAGGAGAGGAGAGGAGAGGAGAGGAGAGGAGAGGAGAGGAGAGAAGAGAAGAGAAGAGAAGAGAAGAGAAGAGAAGAGAAGAGAAGAGAAGAGAAGAGAAGAGAAAGAAGAGAAGAGAAGAGAAGAGAAGAGAAGAGAAGAGAAGAGAAGAGAAGAGAAAGAAGAGGAGAGAGGAGAGGAGAGGAGAGGAGAGGAGAGGAGAGGAGAGGAGAGGAGAGGAGAGGAGAGGAGAGGAGAGGAGAGGAGAGGAGAGGAAAGAGAAGAGAAGAGAAGAGAAGAGAAGAGAAGAGAAGAGAAGAGAAGAGAAGAGAAGAGAGAAGAGGGCAACTACACTACCACACACTGCACATCAATGGCTCTTCTCCATCCATTGAACACTTTGTATTTTGGAGGGTATTTATGATGTCATAACTAAAATAAGTATATATTGTAAATGGTAGCATAATAAAATGATTAGCAGAGAATTCTGACTTGCTCAACTAATACAATTAAGGCACAATTTTTTATTTTAAGTACCTTCTGCTTATAACTAAGAATATTATGTTTATAAACATAATTATATTATCTGTATAGCATTTAAACTTTCCAACAGACAACATCTTAACTAATCACATTTCTGTTTTAGCCATCTATTGCTGCCTAATAAACTACCCTAAAATTAGTGGTGCAAACACAACTTATTTTTTATGATACTGTGCATTGAATGGGCAGTTCTTAGGTTTCACACATTGTCAGCTGAGAAGTAGGAATGGCTAGAAAGGTTGAAATGACCTCACTCACATGGTTGGCAAGTTGGCACTGGTGCTGGCTACTGCAGAGGAGCACAGCTAGGACTGTTGACTGTAGTCTTCATTCTCTTCCAGATGGCTTTTCCACATGGCTGGGTTGGTTTCCCTCCTACCATGATGGTCTCAGGGTAATCAAAGTTTTTATATGCCAGCTGGCTACTGAGAGCACAAGAAAGAAAACTCCCATGCCTTATTAAGGCTTAGACCTGGAACTGGCACTCTTCTACGTTTATGTATGCTATATTCTATCAGTTAAAGTAAGCCATGGGCCCAGCCCAGAGTTTTTAAATTATATATTTAAATAAGTGTATAAGTTTAATTTATAGACTTAAAT